AAGACTTATAGTCGAAAGTACTCGCTAACTCTGAAAATAAATTTTGTGGCATATATCTGATACCATCTGACTCGTTATTTACTGTATGTATATTTGCCTATACAGCATCACCTTTATTTGATATATATTTCCAGCCATACCTATTGTGTAATAGAGTGTATTTGACGTTATTTGAATCTGTTCAACCATGAAGCCTCTGTGGTCTAATGGTTATGACAGTGAGAGGTTGCAGGTTCAAATCCTGTCAGAGGCATTTTATTACACAATTTCTTTATCATTTGAGACCCTGTCAATGACATCATTTGAGACCCTGTCGTTGTTAAATGATGTGAACATGAAAATACTATAAGCCCCTCTTTATAGACTTCACCATACACAATTCAGCCCTATGATGTGATTTATGGGGTTATTTTCATAACTTTATGTTATACCATTACCGGTATATGTGATACCTTTCACAGTGAAAACTTTGTTTATAAAATGCATATATTTTTATTAACTCAAATGTTTCTTTTCCAGGAAAATCCGGTCCAACCAAGAAAACACCGCTCAATAATCAAGACACAGATGGGTAATTTAAAGTTTATTATATTTCTTTCTAGATTTGTTTATTTTTCCTCTTATCTGAAAAAAAGCAACAAATTAACTTGTAGGTTATGTAATTTATGTTCTGTTTATAGAATACAATCGTTGAATATTGAACGTTGCTTCTCTGTACAGTATTTATTACATTCTATCATTCTTTTTCGGAGTTGTCTTTTGTAAAAATTGTATAATTTATAATTTATCTATAGACAACAGGTGTGAAACTATTAGTATTCAGATGAAAATGTGTTCTCAAGAATGAACTGTAAATACTATAATTCAATGATAGGAAGGCCGTTGGTGATATCAACTGTTTCAACAATTAATCTCTATGTATTTTGCATTCAGTTGATGAGGTTACCTTAATCTATAGCTACTGGTAACAGAGAAGCCTAGCTTTGGAAGACTTCTCTATAAACCAGCTTATTTGACTTCTTTTGCTACCCTCTCGACACACCAAACCATATTATTTTTGTCAAAATGAATAAAATAAATAATAAAATATACCATGTCTATTGTGGTTCGAGAAGGGAAATGAAAAGATCTACTGTAATGCTGATGTTAACAGCTTTACATTGTTTAACATTTGGCAATTCTCCATAAAAAGGGGTTATATGAGGACCAAACCATTTTATACTGTATGATTACAAGTTTTAGAGTTCCACTCATTCCGGTTTACCACTTTTTAAATAGTTTCACACTTCATCATTCAAACTTCAGATCAATATCAAAAGCTTGAAGCATTTCAATAAATCTTCACTCTGTATGGTGTTGTGATTACTATGACTGACCTCAAATTCCATTCTTTTCTAAACTTCAATTCGGCTCTATCAGAGGCAAAGATCTCCAACTGTGTGGACATATTGTTGAGAAGTTCAGTGTTCAATCACATGGGAAAATGGATCAAAAGTCAATGATTCTACAGTACTATAGCAGCTTCAGATACAGTGGTGAAAGATGGTCGTTTACATTTTAGTCATTTTCTATTTGATATTATTTGAAGAATTATGAATGCTACAGTGTATATTTTCGTGATGCAAACTCCCTTCAAAATAAGAATTGAATACTTTTTGTTAAACAATATTTATTGATACTGTATTCATACTGACCATATATCACAAATATAACCTGGAAAAAATAACATAAATACCCAGTAAAAGCTAATGTTTATACAGTAAATTTTACAGTAAAATACCCAAATCTTACATTACTGTATGACATGATACTTTAGCACCGTTTAAATAATTACTGTTGATGTTATTAATGCAAAACAATTAGTTTGACAATTAAATAGTAATACGAGACCTGGAATGTAAACAAAAGTGATGAGTTGAAACTAGATACATTTCAGTTCAAGTGCTTAAGAAGAAAAGAAATTGAATAAAATAAATAATATTAATAAATTTTTGTTGGTTGTTTCTAATTCAATTCAATTCAATTCAATTTATTATATCATTTGCAACGCATACATTACATCACATAGAAAATATTGTGGCTCTTTTTAGCATGGACCAACGTCCAATTCGGCAAACAATGAACAAATGGAAAAACAGTGGATTATCAGAGCAACGGACACAATGAAATGCTATTGTATTGCATTGAGGGCCCGGATGGCTGACGGAAAGAAACTCTTTTGGAACCTGCTCGTTCGAGCATAAATTGACTGATATCTTCTCCCACTGGGGAGCAATTCAAAGAGAGAGTTACCAGGGTGTGTTGGATCTTCAATTATACATTTTATTTTTTTAAGCATTCTGGCATTAAATATGTCCTCAATATCATCCTCATTGTGACCGATTATACGAGAGGCATATTTAACAATACGTCGGAGGTCATTTCGGTCAGCCTCTGTGGTGCCACAATACCAAACAGCAATGGAATATAAAAGAACGCTCTCAATAACGTACTTGTAAAAAATAGACATAGTAATGGGCATCTGTAAAAATGAAATTGACTTTCTGTTCTGGAGTTTGAATCTGAAGAGCCCTCTACCTCAAGAGTACATGTTTTTTTTTTTTTTTTTTTTTTTTTTTGAGCAAGTTAAATATAGTGTCTATAAGTGCTAAATGTAGAGTACTGTATATAGTCAATAGCCACCATATGTGATCCAGTATTTACTTGGCTGCTGTACTATCATAAGCTTGAATTTGTTGATAAGAATTATTAAGTTATTCAGTTTTACTTGAGTCATAAGTGTCATGTTAAATCAGCTGATAAATAGTTGAAGAATGTTATGGGTTTAAATGAATGTTACATGCATGAAAGACACCGATTTAATGTGACCCAGGCGGTCACAAAGGTCACTCCACAGAGAGAATTCACCAACAAGGGAAATAATCTCACTTACTTGCTATAGTAACAAGACCCCTGGATCAATGTGGCTGTCTTAATGTGACATTAATGTGCAAAATTGAGGTACAGTAACATCTAAACATTTTGCTTCATAAGCAACCTCAAGGTTCTTAAATAACCAAATAAGCACCAAAGTTGTTGCAGTAGAATCACTGAAAGGTTTTTTTTTTTTTATTAAGGTACTATAGGTAATGATCAGCTCTAGATAAGGAAGCTTCTTGTAAGAAATTTCAAAAGGTGTTTATGTCAGGAAACTCATTTGTTTTATTATTTATTTATTTCAACAATATTTTATGAGCATGGTCCATTCATAACAACTTATTCAAACTCTCTTTGCAACTTTAAGTCACAGCTTAAGACTTATTTGTTTGCAAGTGGCTATTCACATGCTTTGCGCTTTTGATCTTGTTTGGAATTGACACCATATAAATTCAAGATATTAGTATTATTATTATTATGAGATTACCTCCAGTTCATGATATTCTACTGGGTCTTTTGAGCTATGTCTTGGCTAATTCCCGCAGCTTGGAGACACAGCACTTATTATTATTATTATTATTATTATTATTGTTCTTGTTATCCGGCCAAAGCTGATCAATTGGTACCCTCAGCACTTAACAACCTAGCACTTATATTTTTAATATTATTGCCTTTAATAGCATTTAGCTATATTTTGAGAACATTTTTGAGTAAGTTAAGGAGTGAAATGAGTGATTGCTATTTTGTTTTGCTTGTTTTGACAGTAGTGCAACATGCTTGTCTAGCTGTGTGATTGGCAGGCTTATTGTGAATAATAACAAGCTATTTAAAGCCAGTCTTAATGAGGCTCTCCACTCAACATTGCCCTGATGTGATAATTTGTTATCTTGCTGGGTGAAAGTATGCCTGTCTTTTCAGTGAAGAACGATAAGAGACTGGTTGTATAGAGGTGTAGATACAGAAAAAATAGAAAGTCGTATAGAAACACAGATGTAGAGAATATAGATGTAGATACCGTGGTCCCAAGTCTCCTGCAAGTTGTGGGAATTTTGTATCCCTCAAGAAAGCATAAAATCTCCCGAAAACTAACTTATCTGCTGCAAATTCACTGCAGTATTATCAATTGTCACCTTGAAGTCAGTTGGAGATGGGTATTCTCATGTCAGGGATAGGGGCAAAAAATGTTGCCCTGATGGTGGGTCTAATGTTTCTGATGGGAGAGGGTGTCCCCAGTGAAAGAAAAGTGGCCGTGGTCGGGCATTGCTCCAAATCTTTCGAAAGTGGTCCAGGGCACCTAAAAAATGAGTTTATTCTTAAAGGCTTGTTTTTAGAGTCAAGATACTAATATGTAGAATGTACTTTTGCTTATTTTCCTGTAATACGCACTTTTATAAAATTATGATAAATGAAAATGATTTTCAATATATAAAGGAGATAGTATGTAGAATATTACTATACCTGAGATGGATATTTGGCATGATATATGTAGACTTGAAGCTGCAGTAGAACAAACCGTAAGCTGAAGTAGCTACTGATGTAATCTGTTATGCATAGCACATATTTGTCATACTATTAGTATTTGAAATGAATTAATTAATTACAAAGTAAAATTTATAACCTCAGAGAACAAGCTGACTGGATTCATGAATGAAATAGAGTACATATGCGAGAAAAATTTACTAGGGCTTGCTGGCTGCGGCCTTGCCGTGAGAAATGCTACTGCTACTCTAATAGATGATTTACGAGAAAGCTTTACGCTCAGTATCTCCGACTATAGCATCTGGAGAATCATACCATACTATTAGTGGAATAGATAGTCATAAGTCGTAATATGATTTATGCAAATGCAACAAAATCATGAAGCATTACAATGAATAAAGAATAGGAATTGTAGGATTCTGAGAGAACCTGTGAATCGTCTGATAGTGATATTAAAATAAGTAAAAAAATGGAAAATAATCTTCCAGAAATGTGTGGTGTCAGATATTACTTGGTCCTTATATAAGGTTGTTGAACGAGAAAAGGGGGAAATCATTCTGAAATGTGGAGATGTCAGGTCTTTGCTCTTACCTAGGGTGGCTGACCGTATGAACAATAGTTGGGAATAGGGGAAGGGGGAATCATTCAGGAATGTGTAGATGTCAGGTCTTTGCTCTTACCTAAGGAATAGGGGAAGGGGGAATCATTCAGGAATGTGTAGATATCAGGTCTTTGCTCTTACCTAAGGAATAGGGGAAGGGGGAATCATTCAGGAATGTGTAGTATGAGAAGTCTTTCTCCTTTATCCAGGGTTGTTGACCGTATGTACAAGATTTGTTAATGGGGATTTAAGGAACATGATATTTAATTCTTCTGTATGCAGTTTGTAATTCAATTTTGGCAAAAATCTGATCCAAAGTCAATATTCTGAAAGTGTTGTTTTGTTTTAGGGGAATGCATTGTGTTTACTAATGTTCCAATGTTCTTTTATCAATGACCAGGGGTGTTACTTTCATCCATGTTCATTTATTAATTGAATTATTCATTCATTTGATTATTCATTTATTTATTCATTCATAATTTCATTCATTTTAAGTATAACTATATTCCAATTCAGATTCAAGCATCAAGTAAAATAGTTCAATAGTAATTGGCATTTTCATATGTATATTCATTAGGCGAAACTTTTTTATACCTTGTTTCGTGAACTTATTTTTGTATAGGTCGTCAGAGGAGGGCGGTATAACATATTTTTCTTACTTTGGCGAGACTTTTTTTATACCTTTTTAGCGAATCTTCCGACTGCAAATATTAATGATTTTGAATAAAAATAAAATTATATTTTTGGCCAATTAGCGTACCCGCCGCCACAAAAAAGTGGAAATTTTAGAAAGCGTTTCTTTATTTTTATTATGCCTTGAAATCTCCAAAGATAAGATGTATATTTCCTACTTTACATTTACCAAGAACTTTTTATTTTTATTTTCTCCTCCGTCTGGATGCTTTTGGCAAAATTGCTAAATAAGAAAACAGAATTTTATTTTTATTTTTATTCTGCCCTCCTCCGATGATCTTTAAAAAAATAAGTATGTGAAACAAGGAATAAAAAAAGTCTCGCTTACCAATAATGGTTTTGCCAAAAATATTAATGCCTGAGGAGAAAATAAGATTAAAATGTTAATGTTGAATGTAAACTGTGTAGTAATGGGATGGTTACATGATTTAAGTGTATAATTAAGAACAAATATACACATATTCATGGAGATTTCAAGGCAGCGGGCGTAATAAAAATTTCCATATTTATGTGGCGGTGGGTGTGGTAATTGGCCAAAAATAAAAATGTATTTTTATTTGAAATCATTAGCGGGTGCCCGTTTCTCTAAACAAGGTATAAAAAAGTCTAATTAATTGGTTTAATACGTATTCATTTTTTATTGGAACTTAATCATACACTAAATCATGTTCTTATTCAATCATGATTGTACATTCAAAATCAAGACACTAGCATGCAGAAGCGGAAAGGTTGACAAATTCAGTAGAAACTTAAGGATCTTTGGAAGAGAGTCTCAACTGACCACCACTTCCTCATATTGTTATCTCACAGGCTTGCCTTGTCAAAGTCACTATTAAGCAATGCAAATCTGTGCTTAATTTTGGTGAGACAGTATCCTGACTTGATGAGAAAATATCATTAACCAATTGATATTTTATTATACAGTTAGTTAGTTTGGCATCATGTGAAATGTTTGAGGAATCGTAATTCGGATGTGGAATATATATTTAGAGCATGGACTGTAGTTGCGGTTACTGTGCCATTGATATTATAGTTGGAAGACACTAAACAGACATCCATTTTGTGTCCAGGGGACATCCAACCTCTTTCACTTTGCACTCTGATGTGTTAGTCATTGCACATGTGAGCTGAGTAAAAATAAGCTGGCGAGGACCATAAGTACACTGTTACATAACCCTCTTTTTAATTTAGTCCGCCTGATTGGTACAAAAATGGTGGCTATGGGAATCTCGTAGTGGGGGAAGAGGTATTTAAACACGTGCAGGCCAGTGGAATCCTGTTTGCAAATTTGGATTTACAGTACTGTGTTATTACCATACTATGTATAGGTAAGGTTATTTTGAAACTATGTCTAGTGTGAGCTTTCAACATATTTTTTTTCCAATCCTATTTAGTATGTAACGCAGTGTTCTCATATTGCTTTGTTAGTAGGCTAGATTTCTTTGTTAATGGTTTCTAACTGACAAATATAATGGGATTTTGAAAGCAAATATGCCTCTGTATTATTATGTGTGCATGCGTATTAAACATATGATACTCAACTATACTAGGTGTCATGTGTGTATGTATATTGAACATAATACCCAACATTGTTAGTTTCTGTTAGCTATTTGTTGCTAGTGAGCTGTATTATTAGTTTTTAGTTGTTAAGCTAAGCTCATGTCGGTTCTGGCAACTTAACAGAACTCAACACAACTGACTTCTGGTAACTGGCCACTGAATGTAGTGACTGGAAGTTGTGTTATTGAGGTAACTGCTGGAGTGCCCTTGCGATCAAATGCAATTAGAAAATCTCCAGTTCCACCGAGTTCTATTCTTGCCCAGTTGCCCAATTGCCCAGTTCTATCCAATTCAACTCTGCTTAACTTGCAGTTGCAGTGACACTTTCTGACAAGCAGTTTAATGTGATCATGTCTCTGATCTGGTTACAAGGTTTTCCACAAATACTGGTAGTGTAGATGGAATGTCAACAAATTTGATATAATTCTGTAGCAAAAAATAATATCTCAATCATCATTTTACATAAATGATTGAATATAGGCCTAGTAATAGTAGATTATATCTATAAATGTCAACAAATCAAATTTGATATAAATTTGTAGTGCAATTAATAATATATCATTAACAATACAGCACAGTATGTCAGTACAGTATTATTACATATTAAAAGTTTTTGTTTCCTTGGTAACCAGTTCAATTCCATCACTACTCTGCATGTTACATGTTGAATTGCAAGTTTTATGGAAGAGACAGTTAATGGCGTATCTAGGAGTCTTTGAAAATGGAGGGGTGGGGTTATGATGGGGGCACAAAAGTGAAGTTTGGGGGTTCAGTGATTAGGTGAGGGGTTACTAGCTTTGCAAGATAAGATTATTTTTTAACTACTTGAACATGATTTTGTTTGGGGGGATTGTGGGGGTGCGAGTATTTTTTTGGGGTGTCCAATGTCCCCTTCAAGATACGCCACTGGCAATGCATGCTAAAGCACACAGTATACTCTTTGGAAAGAGCAGGAGATTATCTGCCAATGTACTGCGCAGTGACGACCAGGAAGATTCCTTCGGAAATAAGTGCTTTTGTTATCCTAACCATGTTTTAACTCATAGAATACCAAATCAGGTGAAATATAGAAAGTAGAGATTGACAAATGAACCCTAGCACCCCTAGCATATGGTACAAGAGTGGTCTCCATAAACCTGGAGCCCAGAGCAAACAGAGGTCATTCCCATGCACTTTATATAAATTGATTTGATTGCTTGATTGACAGTTTCCCCACAGAAATATTCCCTCTAGGACCAATTATTTTGCCTGTATGTGATATAACTTGCCATGAATTTAATTTTTCTATGAACCATTGTTTTTCTTTTGCTAGATTTTCAGCACTCCACCATGCAGCTCTGTCTGGGAACTGTAATGTGTTACATTGCTTGTTGGATAGTAACCTGGTTATTGTGGACATCAAAGACAACAAAGGTGATTATATTATTACCATAAATCTGTTCACATTATCAAATTTTCTTTGACAAAGAAACTGTTGTATGCCCATATATAGTCATGAGTTGCCCATATATAGTCATGAGTTGCCTATATATGGTCATCATGTGATGTCATCCTAACCATATTTAGGCATGTCACGTTTTTGTCAAATAAAATTTTATAGTGTGGACAGGGCTTAATAAACTTTTTTTAGTAAACTCATAAACCTAGGTCCACTTTAGCTTGACCATTTTATCGATTATGAATGCAATTCAGTTGGAGAGGTACTACGTAATATGGAGATGTCATTGTACTAAATTATTTTTTAAATTTACAGTAGATGATGATAATCAATCAATCAACATGGATTTATATATATATATATTGCCAATGTCCATGGCAGAATTCAATGTTCAGTGCTGCTATTGTATGATAATGGTACAGACATAGATGATGTCATATTACGCCCAAATATGAGCGTATCACATTTGTTTGTGACATACAAATTGATAGTGTGGACAGAGCTTTATAGAAGTCTGGGGTCGTGACCTTGAATTAATAAGCTGATGAATTTGATTATTATTGATCTTTACTGTTTTTGGTAAATATATGAAATACAATCTGCTGTATATTACACATGTCTAGGACAAATTGTAACCATGGTTACCACTGTCGCTGTAAATATGTTATTCTGGTCATAATCAATATACCACATTGTTTTGAAATTATTCTGGTTAATATATGACAGGTAAGAAATATAAATTTAATTGAAATTGACTTTGACAAATGTGGCTCGATGGTTGGCAGGATAAACAGATTCTTTTACAAGGAACTTCATTTTGAATAAACTACTAAAGTTTTTGCTTTGGTAAACATTTTGATGAATTTGTTCATTGTACTGAATGTACAAATGGTAAAAAACTTTTGCAATTAATAATTACCGGTAGTACAAAATGTTTTCATTAATTTTTTCAAGGTAATAATAACATCATAAATGTATTATTGTGAGGGTGTAACTACCAACATCTGAATGGAAATTAGTTAACACATTTATTATTTTTATTGAAGATTAAGAATAACATGGTACAGTACTTAGCAAGTGATCAATGAATGAAATTAATAATAATAATAATGATATTCGTAGTACAATAATAGTGATTTTTGATAACAAAACATTGGCGAAAACATAAAAGAATTTAGGATATGATTTACAATTCTGCCTACAGTATCTTACTCAATCCTTCTCATTATTTGTTACTCAAGCACACATTCCACGGAGATTGACTACTCATTTGTCATTATCCACCATGCCCTCGTTTGTACAAGAACATATTTGAGATATGATATCATAGCAATCTAAAATGATGCAAAATTTGAGCTAAGATAATAAGCACGACCAACATTTTCCAAGTGAAAGTAACATTTCTCTTTGCTATTATGTACCTGGATAAACAATGTCATACATTTAAATTATTCATACTTTCAAGTATTTTACATGATTTTCTTTGTATCTATTTTAAAATAGTGTATTTCCTGCAGCTACTATTATTCTGTGACATTAAAAAAAAACTTGACATTTAACATTTTTTTTTTATTCCAAAGCTAGGTAAGTTTTATAAGCTATTTAAAAAGAAATCTCTTGCTAATTGAAAGAAGTCAAAATAATACCAAAACCAGTCAAGTTTGAGGATTTTTGTAACAAAATGTCTGTGAATAATTGAAAACTATTGTTTTTTATGTGTGATCCATTGAAAATTAATAGCTTCTAATGAGCAATTAATATATGTGGAGATTTAGCTTTAAGAAGATGTTAAAAATAAAAAATAACAATGGCAGGAAATGATGACGGGGTGTGCTAAAGTACACATAAAAACAAGTGAGATATTGTTAATGTGGTTAACAATAATTAGTTAAAGCCAAATTACTGTGAATAATTTCCTTTCCTCCTAAACATTATATTTTTATTACTTGAAGTACTTGTTACTTGGTACTTCTACTGTATAGCGCTTATTCCTTGCCGCTAACTACCCTCCACTGTGATCAATATTTCTCTCAAGCACAGCCCATCCCAACTAAAATCAACAGTAGTTTATTTTTCTTTTTGAGAAGAGTAAGTAAAATATGAAACATTTTGTTCCATTCCCTTCAGCATCATATTGTGGCACGTAATGTGTTTCTTCTTCATCTGATTTGTTTCTTTTGTTCAACTTGTATTGTACATATGTTGAAAGTGCTTATAAACCTACAGTATTATGCACTATAAAAGTCTACATCCATTACCATTCTCATTAAATGACAAATTAAGTCTGTCTATATCTGATTTTATGATGAACTGAAATCACCCCAAATAATAATGTATTTTATATTGTCGTACTATTATATTGAAAAAAACTTTCTTTTCATTTATAATATGACGAGTCAGATAGTAATTTCCAAGCCATTATTATCTCAAAAAGTACTACCATAAACTAGAGGGCGTCCTTCAAAAGAACATAAAAGATGTTCAAATCGAAGGTGTGCTGCGTCCATAGAACCTATGTTCGAGTTTCAAACTCTATTTGAATTTTTTAGGGTGCTCCCGATTTCATGGTAGTACTTTGCATTTCGTTCATAGCGTGCACACAAAATAAGTATTTCTATACTCTTTAGTTCTATTGTACCTCACTCTACATGCCTCATTTTGTATAACAAACTTTTCTTTCTGCTGTCTTTCAAAAAAATTCCTCTTTTAAAACATCTGTGTACCTTGCATGTTATTGAAGCATTGTTTAATGACTACTACTACTACTGCTCTGTCTATACATTGTGCTTGTAAAAAATCATAGAAAGGATTTTTTTTATAATTATATAACAGAATACTCTTTAAAATCATTAGGAATATTATTCTTACCATTTATAGTTTGCACCAGCAGGGACATCATAAAATAAATCAATAGTGGTTATATTCGGACAAAGTACAATGCCATTAATAATAAACCAGCTATGAATAGATGTGTAAGTTCGTTTTCTTGGTCTTTGCCGTTAGTATCCAAATAAGCAATTACCACATTATACACATATGTACGCGTTGAACAAACAGTTTTGGTTGATGATGTTGACTTGAGTATATTTGCGTATTTTCTCATGTTACTTCTAAAAGTTTTAATGATTCAGAAATCAAACAAAAAGATTCAACAAGGGTCATTAATTGAACTGATTTGCCCAGTTAATCTGCGTACATTATATTGGGTATATTCTCATATTTTAAATCAGTTTAAGAAACTAGGGCTTGTTCATTCATTTTAGACAATGCACACTAGAAATAATTTAGTATTACTGCAATGTTTAAAAAATCATTGGATTTGTAATTCAGCATATTTGGTTCAACTGCTACACTCTTTGAAAGTGGAATCTAGACTGACAAGTGAAAGTTGGATACAATAAGAGGAAAGATGAACAAATTATTAGTAAACTCTTGTTTTTGTATGGACTTCTTAGTAATCATAAAGAAACATACAGTACATCTTAGAAGTAACCGATAAAAATGAAAGTGAAGTAAAATGTGGCAAAGACAAGCCAAATCAGTCACTCTTTACAAATCCAGTTTCAGAGATAACTACATATATCATGCTATGCTGTTATTTCCCCAATTTTCAATGTTAAAACTACAATTTTTAACGATTTACTGATGATTTCTGCCTGAGAACTTCCAAAAATCATAAACTTAGGAGGCTGATCTCTCAAGTTGTTCTTTAAACAGCTGTATGTTTAAACTCATGTAACTTCATAAGGAAATGTCAGATTTAAATGATTTTTTAACCATTTTATAGCTTTCATGTGTATAATCCTGTATTAATAACTAAAAATCAATTTTTGCAACGAATGCCTGGTTTGGCTTGTCTTTGCCACATATATGTTCTAACCATGGTCTTTGGCCTAGATCTCTGATGCCTCACTACTGAACCTCATTATTACAGTGTTTGTGAGTGAGAGATTGCACAGTAATGACAGTAAGGTGATGGTAGTGTATTTGTGGTACGTCGCGTCTCATGCTGTGCTGTTTATTTGAATACGATATCCTACAAGTCTTCACTGTGAAATCTGACCCCGATTGCAACGTTCAACCGCATTTCGTAAGCTTACTGTACATAAATATTAAATATGTTTGTGTATATAATGTACATGTTGTGTCTTGGGCAGATCTCAAACATCAATTTACACATTCTAAATAACATTATTTTAAATCCTTTTGTTAAGTGTATGTACTGTTGCTTTTTTAATGGATTTCTTTCTAGGATTTCTGTTCTACAAGAGTGATGATAGTAATTTTAGTTGCTAAGATCATTTTTTGTTGCAAGGATAGCAACATTATATAAACATTAATATTAATACTATAGAGCTGTTTTCATCGATGATAAACCCCCTCCCCCCAAAAAGTGAGATAAATACATATAAATAAAATATAAACAAATATAATTAATAAATATTAATGTTAATGGTCTACATTCTAAATAAGTAAAATCAATGTAATATGTTCTATATTGATTTTATTGCAGATCAGTGTTTTACATGGGTAGGCCTATTTTACTTTTTAGGATTTCTCCATAGATAATACAGTATACTGAAAGGTAAACTGAGGGAATTGTAGACCTATTGGTAGGTTCAAGCTTCATGCATACAAGTTCCAGAACACTAAATATTATCAGGCACATGGACTTATCTTTTTATTTAATTAAGTATTATCTTTAAAACTGGATGTTTAGTGCTTGGTGATAATTGGTTCCATCAGTGATGAGGAGGACAACAGCTGGACTTGTTGCCACAGCTGCTCTCGTTCATTGATGGATAAGAAAACGCTTCTCAATAAAAAACGAATGTGTTTAAAAGTCTTTTTACAGGTCAGTTTATTAGGATGTGGCAGACCTAGAGGTCATTAGCATCTGGAAGCCTTTAGATATTGTTAAAGAATTATGCAATAATAATATAGGTTAATGTAATAAATTGATAAAGGTTAATTTTCAGAATTAAAAAGTCAAAATAGGTAATTAAAAGAATAATAACAATACATAAAATTGATAATTATGAACTAGCAATTTATATTTTTAGTTGTTATTATCTTTAATAGTGGACAGAATATATATTATAACAGTAATAATATTAATGTAACTGGAAGAACTGGAGAGGGTCAGTGCAAACTGGTGGAAGAGATAATAAGGGACCTGGATTGGGTTGGTGCAAGAGGGGAAAGATATAAGCTGTGGAACTGGAGAGGGTCCATACCAACTGGTGAATTGGATTGGATTGGATTGGATTTATTCGGTGTAAACACCAAGGATAGCCCACGAAAGTCTAGAAGACGACTTATTTTCAGTAGGGTCCTTCAGGTGGTGATTGGGCAGTATACCAGGAGACAATTCCCTGCTGTTTTTCGAAGAGTGTTCTGTGTTATTTAACATGCACATGGGCCATCAATGCACACGGGACCAAGGGCTTAAACGTCTAGTCGAAAGACGATGCGCTATTATAACTTGTATTTCAGCCCTCCAGCTGAAACACAAGGAGAGGCAGCGATGAGAATTGAACCGGGGACCTAGAAATCTCCACGGTTCAGCGCACACACAGTGGCTACCACCAGATTAGCCGACTCAGCTAAGCTGCTCTCTCTGAGCTAAGATGCTCCCTCTGAAAGATGAAAAATACTGAGGGAACTGAATTTGGTTCATGCAAGAGATGAAAGATACAAGCTGTGGAACTGGAGAGGGTAAATGCTAACTGGTGAAAGATACTGAGGGAACTGGATTTGGTTCATGCAAGAGGTGAAAGGTATAAGCTGTGGAACTGGAGATTTCATGTCAAATGGTGAAAGACACTTTAGGAAACTGGATTTGATTCATGCAAGAGGTGAAAGGTACAAATTGAGGAACTGGAGAGGGTCCATGCTAACTGGTGAAAGATACTGAGGGAGCTAGATTTGGTTCATGCAAGAGGTGAAAGGTACAAGCTGAGGAACCGGAGAGGGTCCTTGCTAACTGGTGAAAGATACTGAGGGAACTGGATTTGGTTCATGCAAGAGGTGAAAGTTACAAGCTGTGGAACTGGAAAGGGTTCATGCTAACTGGTGAAATAAGAATATTAATGTTGAAAATGTATAAATATTCAAAAAAAGTTTTAAAATAAAATCGAAGAGAAATGTGTAAAAATGATCAGTGTAGTCAAATTGAATGTCAGCCAAATCCAAGATCTAAAATATGATTTGAACAGAATATTTTGGTTTCGGAAAGCAAGCATCATTGATGCCTTTCAGTCAAATATATCCCAGTTACTGACAAACCATGACGTACATATAAATTAGAAATGCGCAGAATACAACCTATACTAAGTATCTTATTAACCCAGGTACCTCGCCAATCTTTTACATCATGAATTCCACAAATTACAATTGAGCTTGTAACAAGAAGAGCAGGGTGATTTCTAGTCATGTGATATATTTGTAGCGTAACTTGTGATTGGATGTGTGTATACTTCACATGTGACCACGTTGCATGATTATAATGAGGAAAATGTCCACGCAAGATTTTATGTCATGTGATATATCAATAGATGTGTTATTGGGTGCGTGCATACTTCACATCATGTGACCACGTTGCTTGATTATAAACTTGTAATGAGGGAAATGTTGATGGTCCACTATAAGGTCTTATGCACTAGAGTATCTAAGAGTATGGCGGAGATAATTGAGAGAGGAGATGGGAAGCGTGTAGCATGTAGCTGGAAGACTGGTGATATGAGATGATTTTTAATTACTTGAGTGCAATTTTTTGCTCAGCAAATTTCCCGTGGAGCCTTGGGTGTCAGGGGATGGTGGGGGGGAGTGTGGGGTTAGTATGCAAAGTTTTTCATCAGAGGATGGGATATATCATTGAAAAATGTTTATGCCTCAATGGCTTACTAAAATTTAATGATTATAGAATGATGAATCAAAATAATAACTTTAATTTGATATCATTGTTTGTCATCAGTGTCATCATTAATAAATTTCTAATCAAATTTTAAAATCTCACAAGATTACATCAGTTGAACTATACTGAGTTAGTAAGCAAGGTAGCGAAAATTAGGTGAAGTTTAGATTTTAGTTAAAATGTTTTAACATCAAGTTCTCGTAATCTCAAAAGCTCCAATGAGGGCAGTATAATAGAGGCAGTAGAGTGTATTGGCAACGAGGGCAGTATAATAGAGGCAGTAGAGTGTATTGGCCCTAATGGCTGCCCATACAAAAAAGATCTATTTATTCAATCAGCTGAGTGTTTCTAGAGCTCCTCAATGGAGCTAGAATCAAACCAAAAAAAAAAAAAAAAAAAAAAATCAATTAAAAACAATTGCATGAATGCATTAATTGAGTAATTAATTTTAAAGACTAAAAACAATTAACCATAAATAAATTCTACTCTAACCATTTGAGATTTCATTGTGACTCATTCCCTTCTTATAATGGTAGTAATATGAATACTTATAGATTCATGTTGATTAATAATATATTTAGTTTGTTTACCCATTTGTGAGTGTTACTATTGATTTACAAATTGAAGTGCTTTCAAGATGTTTATTAATTATGCAACTTATTGAGTACTGGTCTACACTCAAGTGAAGTAATCAAACCAGCATTCACTTCAGAATTAGTTGTTGACTTAAATAATATAAACTTAACTATTTTAATAGCAAACCTGACATGCAGAAAATTTCAACATAACACCTTTAGGGTTAATGCTGATATTTGTTTGGACTACAGTAGCCTAAAATAGAGTGTATGGTGTGGTAGCTATAGGCTTAGAGAATAAAAACAGTTAATGTAAATAGCAAGATAAATTAGATGAGATTCTGTCTGTGTTTCAGCATCATTTTGTTTCATTTAAAGAGGGTCCATACAAATTCATGAAAGATACAAATTGGAGAACCTGGGGAGGATCCATGCAAGCTGGTATAAACTACCGTATTGTAGTAGAATTGGAGGGATCCATGCTAGTGAAAGATTCAAATCAGTGAACAGATTTTACCAAATTGTTCACATACTTTCAATTTCAAAACATGAGTTGAGTCCCTTATAATGGATTTGTAGTAAATCATGGAGATAATGAAGGAAGTGATCATGTCAGATCCATAATGCCAATTGCTTCCTGACAAGAAAATACTTTGGAATAGACCCTTGAGGGTGTAAGAACATCCGACCTTGCATTGACCCGCCCCGTAAATTGAACCTTAGTGATTTATTTATAGACATAAATCATATTCAAATAATTTCATGTGGCTTTGTTATGTTCACTTATTTGCAACAGGTTTGAATAAATTGCTGATAATTATATAAAACAATAATAATAAATAAAATAAATAATAATAATAAATTGTACTAAACGATAATAATGAAAAAATAAAATCATAATTATATAAAACTAGTGAGTAGCTAGTACACATTTTAAACAAGACTTTTATTCCTTTTTTAGCAAAGTTTTTAAACAAACTTTCAGAGCAGGTCAGATAAAAGATAAATGAAAATTATTATCTAATTTAGCAAAAGTTGTTCTACAAAAATCATGTAATATATTAATCAATGTATACAGAAATAAACAATAGGCCTATAAACATGTCCAAACAATTGTTATATTTTACTCTCAAACATTATCTTGTCTTTAAAGTCACAAATGCAACTACTGTAGTAGTACATGCTTTTATCTTATGAATTTAAGTACTGGCACATAGCAATAATCTACGTATACATCCACTACTTGATTATCATTTTTTTCTCTTTCTCTCTCTGCTTTGCATGATCCAAAGTTGATCATTAAATGGAAATGTCTAGAATTACGGCAATGAGTGAATTATTCTACAGTATAGATTTGCCATCAAAGGCCGTCACTTACTAAACACACTGTAGATAGCTTAATGCTGTGTGTGAATATTGATCATTCGACGTTTCTCTGCTTATTATAGGGATGCGACCAATCCACTATGCTGCTTGGCAAGGTAAACTCGAGCCTGTGGTGCTACTACTAAAGGCAGGTGCTAGCCCTGATGACGTCTCCTTAGAAGGGGATACGCCCCTTCATCTAGCTAGCCAGTATGGCAGTGTCCAAGTGGTATGTTTTTGCTTTTACTTTGTTCTTTAGACTGTTGATTATTTGATTAAGTCACAAAATGATTTGTTAGTGATAATGTGATTGATTGAGTGAAGTATATGTAGCTGCTGTGCAGTTTACTTGCAATGATTTGGAAGGAAATGTTTTATTTTATCAATACGATATAGATAGCTTTATAATTAATATAGTGATGAAGTTATTAATAATATTAATGTTTATCAATTTGTCAAAACCTTGCAGTATATAGTTTTTAAAATATAGAACAACAATTATTAGTAATTATGATTGATTATTTTGATTGAGGATGTTATTATGTAATTAGTTTATGAGTAATTTTAAATTTGTTGAAGGATTAGCTTAAGTCAAGTTAATATTATGTTGCAAATACCGTAGTCCCTCCTACTTTACGCCCAATTTTACTTAATAGCCATTTCTTGGCCGAAAGCTCAGGGTATAATTTGAATGAAGAGCTTAGTTGACTTTTACAAATAATAAATAATGTATTGGCTTTTAATTAGACGAGCAGTGCTGAAAAATTTCCTTTTTATTGAAAAGAGGTTCTCCAGGAATAAGCCCGCTCCCAAAAGTTTTGTGTTGAAGTGGGTTTGGGAAGGGAGGTGCGCTTATACCAGAGAAATTACAGTAGTCAATTAAATGAATAAAATTTGTCTTAGTGGTGGTGTGGTAGTAAACATTCTCTTAGGCAGCACACAAGGTAGCAAAGTATCATTAGTCAAGGATTTGTTTACTTATTATTTTAATTACTTGAATGATTACATAATTGGTAGATAATTTTTGATATATTGATCTGAGGGTATAATTGATTTTGTAATTTATAAACTTAACACTTCTGTAATTACAAATTGTTTTAATGAATAATTCTTTCATTTGTTTCCGAAGGCTAAAATATTACTGCAGTACCATGCTGATCCAACTATTAAAAACAAGGCCGGAAAAACAGCACTGGATTTAGCTGCGGAATTTGGTAAACTAGTGGTCGTAAACCTTCTCTTAGGTAGCACGCAAGGTGGCAACCTTATAGCGCCACCAAGGACACCAATGAACGTGAATATGCATACTCCTTTACATCTTGCTGCCAAAAATGGACATAGTGATGTCATTAGGTAAGAATTTAATGGATTTTTTAGGGATTTGATGGTGATATTTAGATTAATATTAAATTATGCTGAGATGTTTCTGGTATAGTTACATCTGTTTGACACACCTTGATGCAGATCACCTAAAGGCCACTGTCCGTACTTATCTAGATCTAGAACTTAACAAATATGTAGTTCTTAAGTTTTTTTTTTTTATGAATCATGTCTCACTGTATTTCAGACTATTTAAGTATTATTTGACAAACATATGTAATATGCCTAAATATGGTCATGATGACATCACATGAACATGTATACGCACATCATTACTATGTATATTTATTTATTAGACCAACAAGGTCGGGGGAAGCTTAAGCAAACAAAGTCAGCTGCCCCCTATAAGCATACAATAGTTTTTTGTCAAATGGCATTGTGGCATATTTCTTGCTGCTTTGCCTCCAATCTGTAGACATCTTTTGACAACTGTTCTCGCTGTTTCCCTCTGGCATTCTACGTTGCTGCTTATATTCCAGGAACATCCTTTGCTCCTTCCATTTATCTCCGTAGATGCCTATTCAATGATATTTAAAAAAATACATTAAGAATATATAGATATATAAAGAAATGGATTGTAAAACAATATAATAAAATATGTGGTGATATGCATCATTGGCCTGCTTATAGCTACCTTGAGGTCAATATGCAGTGAAACAGTGCACAGTAAGTAAGATGCAAGCATTTTATGAGAAATGTTTGACTGAAAATTGAAGCTATGATAGGACTAGATTCAACTGTCTGTGAAATTGAGTAGTATAGTGATGATATGCTATTAGAATTTTAAAGTAAGCAAAAGGATTTTTATTATAAAAATATGTATTCATATACTGAAAATCTCTTTCCTTTGCTAGATCTTCATTACTTTTCTAATATAATCATTCATCTTAATATGTTATACATTACTCTCATACATTCAAAAGAAGACTATTGCCTTCTCCTTTTCCATCATTCTTATTCAGCATTTTGATTTCCTACATTCCAGTTGAAATATATTTGTGTATATTATAATGTCCAACCTATTATTTAGCATTCATTTCCAATGTAACCTTCTCACAATGGGTGAATCTTCTACTTAAAGTGTCCTTATATTTTTAATTCTTCCTCAGTCCATATAGAGTATCAGTATCATGGCCCAACAAACTTGGGTTTTTAAAATAGGAGTAGACAAATATACACAGATGCTTTACATATACTAAGTGTGATTATGAGGTTTAGTGAGTGGAGTGGTTTTGGTCATGAGAACAAATCTTGTTATGATTGCAACAATTGAACCCAGGATCCTAAGAATGAAAGGCAGGCACCTATACCACCACTCCATTCAAGTCCACTCCATACATTATCACAGATATTTGGGGCAATTATCGATATTATTTAAAAATATATTGTAAAACAGTTCTCTTGCTATGTAGGTTTTGATCACAATTTCTGCTGTTTCAACTCATTGTAAATTTTTCCTCATTCAGTGCAAGTACCCCTAGACCCACAATATTTGAGAGCACAAAACAAATTTGCTGAAAGCAAAATTCAACATTACTAGTAAAAATGAAGAAAAGGCAGTTACCACTTATACTTAAGTAAATTGTATCGTAAATTGATTGGTGTTGCAAAACCTGTCAGCGTTGACTTAATGGGGAAAAACAACGCATCAATCAGCTAATGAGAGCATCGTTATGAAGGATTTCACTTAGCTGAGAAACAAAATCTGTGATCTGACGTGTGACAATGACTTGTATTCACTGGAATTTATTCCTGAAGTCAAGTACACACTTAAATGATCTTCTTAAAATCATACTATTTTGGAAAAATATCAGTGTAAGATTTTGTTTTATGTCTTGATAGTCTGATGCACTGACCAATATAATGGATAGGAAAATATATTTGATCTTTCATGCCCAACTAATTTTTAGATTATTATGAAATTATTACAAAATTGTGTAGTACACAAACTAACGTTTGCTAGGGACTTCTTCCTACCTGCATAAACACCATCCCTGCTACAGACAGCTGGTGAAACACACTCCAAAATCAATGAACATTTGTTCTTTATTGCTTTGATGAGTATTTGCCTTACCCTTCAATGCTTCCCTGTCTGATCCTAACTGCCGGCCTTTGGTTTCTATTGTTCTGAAGGTCTTAAGCTTTGAATCTAGTGCTTCAAAAGGCCTACAAGAGTCATAGTGCTATGCAAACTGTGTTTTGTAGTACACTATGTTTTGACTGAGCATGCTCACAATTCAATTGAATTACTAAATATAGGGTTGTAGCTGCAGAAAGAAAAAGGGGGTGAGCGGTAGACATTATCAGGCTGGGTGGGTGATAACATTGGTAAATGAGAAAAGGTTTTAAGAATGAGCAAAGGAGTCAATAAAGTTTAGTGGAGGGCCAAGATATTACCTTTAGACTGGGTGGAAAACTTGAAGGCTGGGTGGCCTGCCACTTTGCCCACCGGTACGGTATATACTGTATCAAGACAGTCAAAAACCTTTAAGCCTGGTTCTCACGAGAGACCTAGTATTCGTATCGGGAGCTAACCGTTAGCGCTAACCGTTAGCACCTGTGTGAGAACGCCCGATCGGTTAGCGCTAACCGTTAGCGGTATCCGGATACCGCTAATGGTTAGCAAGCGCTATCGGTTAGCAAGTGAGCGCGTTTCTATCATCAACCAATCGCACATATGCGTTTACAGTTTCCAGTTTCTTATTGGCCAGTGATTCGATCATCATATTCTTGCTATCCAGATCAGGATTTTCTCGTATGGACGCACGGCAGCTAACGGTTAACAGGATCCGGATCCTGCTAACCGTTAGCTGCCGTGTGAGAACATAGCCAATATTGTAGTCTTTATATATTACATACAGTAGGCCAGAATAATTTTCTATAATTCAGGCTTCTATTGTTAGGTGTTTGTATTCTTTGTCTTGATATTTATACATTTTTAAAAATTCTTTTGTGCCCATTCAAATTCCAGATTTCTGTTCAAAGAAATGTCGAAAAATCTAGTACCAAAATGTAATCATTGTGCAACATTTTACTAATTAAATACTTTAATTGTTTTTGATTTAACGTATGACAATTAGCCGGACCTCACAAGCACGGTCGATTTAATTTGTGGTTAAAAAGATGTATTTTCCATGATATTTAAACATTACTGCTTATACACACAAAATAGTTATAGTAATGTGTTAGCCTAATAATATTTGTAAATAACGTGTATGTAAATAAACAAATTGTAATTTACATACACGTGACAATGCTAACCATGAACCAAAATAATGATAATCTTCAATTCAAATTACATTCTTAAGGAGAAAAAATTAATTATTCAAAAGGCCGATTATTCGTCTAAGTTGGAAATGCAGCGACCATCATTTTAAATTTATTTTAGGAAGATGAAGTCAATGTACACATGTCAAGAAGTATAGCAGACATCTTTGCTGGGAAATTTATTTGAAAGTAGATGAGGAATTTGTAAAGATATTTTTCAATGGCTTTGAAATTGCTCTAGTTATCTGTAGTGTAGATTTATACACAAGGAGATGAAGTAGATGCAAAAATGTTATTAAGACACGAATCAATGTGACTAGACATCTTTGTCATCATTATCATCGTCATCATTATCAGCGACTGCTTCATCATCATTACCATCGTCATCATCATAAGGCCAGAAAAAAAAATGTTTGTCTGCTCTTCTCCACCCACCCCTAACTCACTGAAAATAAATAGGGGTGTAAAAACCAAAAAACTTCAAAAATTTTATTAGCTTTTTCCTTTATAAATTAAAAAAATGTGAGTGAATTTATCTTTATTTTTTGCCAGATGCCCTACAAATTAGTCTAAAGTTGTTGTCTGATGTAAAAATATTGCCATTCTATGCCTCTGTGGGTCATTTTTATTTTATTTTTTTATTTTTTTTAATTAAAAAAAAAAAATTTATTTTTAATTTTTATTTTTTTAAATTTTTTAAATTTTTTATTTATTTATTTTTTTTATTTCTCTTTTTCCACCTGCCCCTTTTTATCATTTTAAAAAAAGAAGGGAAGAAAAAAAAATTATTTCATTATATGCATGATCATTCATTGTGAAAGACTTGTGAAAAATGCAGCAGTTGAATGTAACAAACCAGAAATTATACTGTAAATAGTTCTGTAATATAGAGACTTGATGAAAGTTATTCAGTTATTATATTATAAAACTTACAGAACAATCTTCAATATAAAATTGATTTTATGCAAAGTATTTATTTGGCCGGCTTGATATTCATACATTTGGTCAACACTTGTCATGGATGGATGAGTCAACCACTCGGGATAACCAGCCTAAGTTTTGCTCCAGTTCTTCAACAATGGCCCTTTTCTTTTAGTCGGTCACCTTGGCTGTAAGTCAGTTGAGTCAGCTTTCAAAACGTGCTACGCTGGTCGTCCTCAGCTTCACAAGTTGTCATATTCTATTAGACCAGAGAAGTAGCACCCCAAATCTGCACATCTGTGATGAGACTCTGTGACGTTGAATCAAGATTCATGGGCCTAGATTTCTTTTATATTAATGTTAGTATAATATTGCTGAGAATACCTTATAAGAGCGCTGTCGAGACATTGCTACACCAGGGGAAGCATAATTCTAAAGATAAATTATTAGAAACAAGACATACACATATTCTAAATTAGTATTTTTTCTACTTAAATGTCATTAAATGGAGAAAAAAAAAAACTGACCAGTAGAATTACATTTTTTCTGACCTGGTTGGATCAATAAGTCTTTATGATCATACAATAACACATTGTGATGGCAATTATGTGTTGTTGTTCCACATTGCTGTGAAATTAAAAGGAGTTTATTTGAGCATATACGTATCCATTTTAAAATTTAAATTTAAATAAATGCCGCCATCAAATAAATACCTCCCTCAAATAAACTCCCCCTCAAAAACCCTTCTTAACAATGAACATCCTGGGGTATTTATTTGAATATATACAGTATTAATTTATGCTTTCCATAGAAATGTTTGCATTTAGCCTTTAAATTATGACAGTTTGAAACATTGCTAGCTTGCAAACAAATTTGCATTGATTTAAATCCAAGCTCTACATATTTGCAGCATTGTCAAGATCAATGCACTTATAGATTACCCAATTTACATTCATACAACGTAAACTATGCATCGAGTTAGGCCCTCGAGCAGACTTCATTATCCCTTTGCAGCCCCGAGTAAGCCCAGGGATTGAACTAGGTTCAGAGTCTATAAATTTTTCGCTACTAGTCACACATTTTTAAGGCCTAGATTTATGGTTGCTTAGTATGCAGCTAATTTTACAATGTAATTTGTGACTTGAACTGGTTATGATAGCGCTGCTAAGGACAAATTGCAATAAACACAGAACTAGGCTAGACACTGTATAAGATTCTTTGTTTAAATCCATCGATTTGCATCTTTACCCTCTCAGATAAGCTGTTCTAAATCCTAGTGCATTGCCTGTTTTGTAATTTTCTTATGTATAATGTTTAAATATCAATAATTGTTTCAGATATTTGCTGTTTATTTCTTGGCAAATGCATTTTATTGAAGAATGCCGCCTTATGTATTGTACAACAAAATATAAACTAATTCCTCCATGATGTAACTAAAGTACAGGTACTTGACAGTTTTGCTGTGTTGATAATTTAAATGTCACGTTTGTGTACAATGTCATGTCTTGCCACTTGGATTGTCACACTGAATGCCATCAGTGAGACCACTGAATGCGAGACAGTCGCGTGAGATCATGGGAGGTATTGCCACAAGATTGTGTAAAGATAAGTAAATGTGTTAGCAATGTGTACTTGTTTTTCTAAAGTAAGGGATTTGTATAATGTCAGTTACCTATTGAAAATGGTGTTTAAAAAGGGCTGGCCACCTTTCCTAGGTGTTATAATGATACAGAGTCATATTGATTATTATTTTCGATATGTTTTGATATAGTAGCAATTTACTCGAGGCAGTTTCATGAAATACGCAAGCTGTATGAAAGATCAAAGAATCATTGTTCTCTCAAGTAATGGATTGTTATTTGAAATTTTTTACTGGTGTAAACTTTTGTAATTTAATCTTGACCATGTGCCGCTTAAATAAAATAAATGATTAAATACTGACAAGCCATAATATTCAATAAGAATCTATTAAGTCATTCTACCACTTGCATGCTAACAATGTAATATACGCCTATAGTTTTAATTTTATATTCACATTTATTACTATATTGGCTATTGACATTTTGCCATTTTTTTTATGTAGATTATTGTACATGAAATATTTTGGCATACTATGATTCTTGTGATTTTTAAATCTCTATATTTTTTTGATAGTAAAATGTTAGGTTGACTAAAGCTAACTAATATTTTGTTTATGGAGAAGTGTGATTTATACTCATATCCAGGAAATGATTGTAGCTTATAATATCTCTAGTTGTTGCTTTGTTTTCGGAAATCAGTGTTTGTATTTTTTTTCTGTAATAAACTTGTTCATTTTGTACAATTTAACAAATCTGCCAGAAGAAAAAAAACATAGAGGATATATCTTTTCTTTTAAAATGTGTATTAATTGAGCTTAACTTCAGTGCTTTATACCATTCAACAAACTTATTTTATTTTTTTGGAAAAAAAATCTAGTTGAATCCAGTGTTTTACTTTTGACAGAGGCATCTTTGTTGTCGCTTGATCTAGATCAGTGGTGAAGGACAAAAGTGATGAACCATCCTAGTTTAGCACCTCAAAGCTACATCTCATTATAATATAAATAATGAAACAGAAATTTGGTTTTATCTCTTTCCCATCTTCGGATATCAAGGTCAACTTTTGCCACATGTCCCTTCAGTCAGAATCTTTTAACAGACCCATAAATGCACTAGAATTATGAGAGGTAGTTGTCTCAGATCATTAAACTGTTTAACATAGCAATCAGCATCGAATTCAAGGGGAACACAACCTGCCAGACCCCCTTCCCTATACATTTTTCGAAATTATTTTTAAAATGGAGAAATAAGAAAATTATATTCAAATTTAAGAGCACCATTTCGGCCATCTACAAATGTCATAAAACATAATTTTTCTTGGTTCAACCATTGTGGGACTGAGGTCAAATTCCTGGATCCACCGCTGCCAATAGATTTGAAATCACACACAACTAACTCCCATGAAAAAGATGCAAATATGGCTGATTCCTTTACATTACAAACTCTGTCAGATGCTATGTTACTATTGTGTGTTACGAAGAATTGTATTGTGCGGTTTCATCACCGTCTACTACAAAATATCCACATGCCATTAACATGTGTTTTTCATTTGATTGGAAATATTTAATAATAGTTTCATGATATATTAATATTTGCAATGTGTCATATTGGTATGATTGATTGTTCTTTTTCTATTCTTCCAGAGTTTTATTAGAATCTGGTGTTGATATTAACATGGAGACACACAATGGAACAGCTCTACATGAGGCTAGTCTTTTTGGTAAAACAGAGGTTGTAAGGTTATTAATTAATGTACGTCAAAGATCTTATATACACAAGATAGCGTTCTCCGCGATTTACGCGTGCAAATTCTGTAATAAGGCATGAATGGCGCCCTTTTGCTAAATTGGAAACTTTTGATCGCTATGACCATACCGTACTGTGAACAGCAGAACAGGAACCATCTCAAATCCATGGCAACAGATAGGACGCCCTCTTCCAAAACTGATTACTTTTTCTCTTTGGTATAATAGCGCATGAATGGCGCCCTC